TATCACGACGTACTCTATCTCGCGCATGGACGAAAACCCGTCTTTTCATCCCGAATTACCGAATTCCTCTCAGTATTCATTATTTCCTCCTCGTGTCCTACCCTCCTTCAATTCTCTCGTTCTCTGTCTCTCATTCATTTATATCTTTTCCTTTTGATTATCTCTTTCAGTATGTCTCAGAATTGGACATCCCAGGATCCTACTTTGAACGGCCCCATAATCTTGCTTCAACCTCACTCTTTTGCACAGATGTTCTATTGCACTGCTGACATAATATTAAAAAGAAACACGAGGACAATGCTCAGGGCGATCTTCACAATCTCGCATCAATTAATGTTCACAGAGTTCTACATATATGCGCGGGTTATTTTACGATGCTCTCAGTAGGAAGACAATATTTTTTATATATATATACATATACAAAACAAACTCCGTGTATTTTAGTCCGCAATCAACTATACCGACGGAGCGACTGCCGCCTGTCGGCGAAGTTAGTGCCAACGTTTGCTGATAGAGGGTGTCGACTGGTCAGCGCAACGGATCCCCACTCCGTTAATCTCGGTTTTCTAACCCAGAGCCGCTATTTCCTTGAAATAGCCCCTCACTTATCCTCACGAGGCTGTGGACCCCGTTCCAGACCCACTACTTCTCAGAAAATCTGGTAGCGTCGGGAATCGAACCCGGGACATCTGGATATGTATCCAGGAACTCCGACCACTAGGCCACATTGGCCAAATGTTATGAGCATAGATTAATAATTAATTGGAAAGGGTTCAGAAGAAAGCGTTAGTGGCATAATCGAAGTACTGTACTGGCATTTGCCTGAAGGGACTGAGAGAAACCATGAAAACCCACTCAGGATAGGCAGTGTCCCAACTGAGATTCGATCCGAACATATCAGGAACACGAGTCGAAGGCTTTACAGTTATGCTACTCCGTTCTATTACATTACTGATATTTGTATTTGAAAGACTGGGGGGGATAGACCTACGACTCGCTAATAGGTTCCTGATAAGGAACTCCGTGCCGGTCACGGTAGCCGAGCAGTCTAAGGCGTGCACTGTCTTCGCTCGCTCGGAAGCCGAGATCGTGGGTTCGAATCCCACTCAGGGCATGTATGTTTGTGTGCGTTTTTCTGTATTTGTCTACAGGTAGAGGCCTTGCGATGAGCTGATCACTCGCCCAAGGAGTCCTACCAAAAGTGTAAGATCTAGTAAACCGAAGTGAAACGGAGAATTTCATGGAGGTAGGCTTAGGCTCAAATTGGGGCTGTAGCGCCACAGAGAGAGAGAGAGAGAGAAGGAACTCCGTAAGTCCTTTATTGATATTCTGCCAATATTGCATAAACTTCCCCCAATTTAAACTATTAGAGTCACTAAGTATATTTGTGACCATTCAGACCATTTATGTCACAAAAAAATAATGTACTCTTATTTTTTTCTTTACATTTTCTTTCACTGCACTAAACAAAGTAGATTAGAAATTAAATGCGCAGATTAATGAAGGAGGTCACATTTTAGATGCAGGATTCAGCCTTCAACAGAACAATGGTAGTTTGACAACTCTGACGCAGCAGTGTCAGTTCAAACCGACAGGAAGACTGGTGACAGAACTGTCCGTCCGTATCCAGCAGTCCGGTACGCCTTCAGCCTGTCCCTTGGTTTGGTGAAGTAATCGAAGTAAGGATCACTGGTTCTGAGGATCGAATATTACAGTCCCCTCACACGCACCCTGTGTACACTTGCAGTCCTCAGCGTATATAAAAATGGAAATATGAAGCCATCTTAATTCGTGAATGTCCTACGGACGTTACAGACGCGATAAAAAAGGGTAAAAAAATCGGTGTAAATATATTTCACGTGCTTTCTCATATTCGATTTACCTTGGATATGTTACCTTGGGAAAAATCGGTTATTGTTTCATAAGCCATATTGAACGCTGATTATGTAAGCTAAAATACATACACGTTGAGTAACAATTGTTGTTGGATTATTCTCATAAGCCGGACGTATTGCAGTCACTCAAGAACTGCCCAGCAATTTACGGAGCCCGAAGATTCATTACTGTGCTCACAAGACGCCTCCACTGGCCCTTATCCTGAGCCAGATCAATCCAATCCAAACCATCCCATCATATTTCTCTAGGACCAATTTTAATATTGTCCACCCACTTACGCCGTGGTCTTCCCAGTGGTCTCTTTCCTTCTGGCTTTCCCAGCAATATTCTATATGCATTTCTCTTCTCCTCCGGTCTTGCTACATGTCCTGCCCACCTCATCCTACTTGTCTTGATCATTCTAATTATACTTGGAGAAGAGTACAAGTTATGAAGCTCCTCATTGTGCAATTTTCTCCAACTTCCTGTCACTTCATCTCTCTTCGGTCCAAATATTCTCCTCAACACCCTGTTCTCAGACATAAATATACTTGTACTCCTTCCGAGAAATTGGTTGGATAAGAGGTACAAGGTCATGTGGCCACCCCCGCAATATTGCTCTTGCTTCCTGAGGAAAAATTGCTGTCCGAAAAATGGTGATTTTACCCTGCCGGCCACGCCGTCTTCGAGAAAATTGACACTTGGCCTTTGGGCCCCCTAGTGAGCGTATCGTTATTTTACTACGAACAGAGTTTCATTTAGAGTGATGGTCCCCATAAATCATGGAAATGTAATATAAATAGGTTGGATTCACCTTCAACAAAAATAAGACCTTTTGCTTGGGGCTTATTTGAAGGGTCCCTGTTTTTGGAGCTAGAATATTCTGATTCAACGAGCACCGACTTATGCTGAATAAACTATTAAATACCGAACATGAGTGCAATCCGTCCAACCATTCAAGAACTAGCGAAGGCCACGTTCATGCAGACAGAGAAAGACGTTTCAAAATCCAGTCTTTGGTCTTCAGGGGACTAGAAACATGTACATATATCAGAATCTTAAGATCAATTCTGTCGACATCATACTAGTTTCTCATGTATACCACACATGAGAAAGGAAAAACGGTGTATACCAGTCACAAAATACATATATTGTTTTGTTAAAGGATTCAGGGAAGGCCATCTACAGATTGTATAAAGAAAAGACAAATGCAAATAATTCCCACTAACCCAAAATAAACGCTGCAATTGCTTATCTGTGCAGTACCTACACGTCATCGCCTTTCGTATGCATGTGATAAATTATGATCTATTAGAGTGCTTACCATCATGGTCCATCCACTGTGTTCAGTTTGTGCTGTTCCTATAGGATGCTTACCAGGAATCTATTTCCATTGGCTTATTCTCTTCGTTTACGTGAAGGAAAGTTACATTGTTGCAGGATGTTTACCGATGTAGTACATCCACTGGATACGCAATGGCGAGACATGTTCCCACAGAATGCTGTACTCTATTCACTGTACCACACCGCACGAACGTAATGGCAAGTCATGCCCCTCTAGAGTACTTACCAAGAAAATACTTCCATTGGATCTCAATCTGAATACAGATACAATTCTTATTTGTACGTCATGTGAATTGGGCTTCATGCTATGTGTAAGTGATTACTATTTATATGCTAACAGAATCCTTACCAACGCAGTACGTCCGCTTTACCAACGTAGTACATTCACTGGATCACACTCTGTGTACACGTGATGGTAACTTTAGAATGCTTACCGGTGTAGTACGTCCACTGTATTACACATTGTGTGCATGTGATGTAGGGCGGCAGGCGGACTTTATACCTGAAGACTGCCTTTTTCTTGGACTCGAGGGGAATGTGGAAGGCCATGTCCTTTGTACCTGATACATATAATGGGAACCTGCAAAAAAGGAGACGTCACAATGGCATTGCCAAGAGTTAGTCGGCCGATTAATAAATTATCCGCCACTTATGAAGCCCAAATTTATTTCACCATTTTAAGAAGCCCATCCTCCCTATTTCTTAAACATACATTTTCATATTATTTTCGTAGCCACGCCTTGATTTCCTAGACTTCTCCGATCTTTAGGTTTTTTTGACTAATCAACAAATTATCCAAAAAATGCGTAAGAAAGTGACTCACTAAATTACCGACTAACCTAAATTTATGCTCTTCTTTCCCAGGGTTTTACACTCAAATATTTTAAGATATAATTGAAAATAACTCAGCTGCGGGGTAGAAAATGTAGATTTAAAAATAGAGGGTACTGCATTTCAACCCAGACGCCCGTCCTCCTCAGAAGGGGATGATGTGAGATGAATGCATAAATGGATAGAGCACTGGGAACAGAATGGTCTGGTGAACGGATGCTTACACTGATGAGTGAATGGGCAGATGCACGGATGCTTACAGTGATGAGTGAATGGACAGATGCACGGATGCTTACAGTGATGAGTGAATGGACAGATGCACGGATGCTTACAGTGATGAGTGAATGGGCAGATGTACGGATGCTTACAGTGATGTGTGAATGGGCAGATGCACGGATGCTTACAGTGATGAGTGACTGGGCAGAAGCACGGATGCTTACAGTGATGAGTGACTGGGCAGATGCAGGGATGGTTACAGTGATGAGTGACTGGGCAGATGCACGGATGCTTAGAGTGATGAGTGACTGGGCAGATGCAGGGATGCTTACAGTGATGAGTGACTGGGCAGATGCATGGTGGTGGTGCATGAATACAAAGATATAGACGACAATCTCACATCCTTTAGGATGTTACTGACAATAAAAAACTGCAAACGAATTCTTTAGGTGAACCTACATCCCTCATAAACATTGCTAGGAACTGGGAGCTATAAACCTTCATATATTGCTCATTATCAGTTCTTCTTATAGGAGCCATATGAAGTCAATCAATGTATGCATGCAGGGCCTACGGAGAAAGCTGATACGTCCATATTTATCGGGCACCAATATATGATGGGCAAACTCTTAAATAATAAATATGAATAACGTCTACTCAGCCATTTAGTCGCTAGCTAGGGGCATATCCACACACACAGATGACATCACAAGAGCCAGTTCTTCGTATTCAGGAGTGCTGAAAACGTGTATATCCCTCAATATCTGTACATAGAGTCTCTCGCCATTATTTTATTTAAATATGTTTTAAGTTAATACGCAGATAATTTAAGTTGGTTTAGAGATGAGGGGTCCTTGAGTGTGTAATTTGTTGCTGTGAATCTGTCGACTCCAAAAGTTTGAGAACTACTGGTCTACACGGCTAGCGCTAGGCCGGACAATGCCCACGAAGGTTAAGGATTTGTTCTGGGGCTCCCAAAATCCCACTGCCACAAAGAGGTCCAGATAAACCAAGTCTTGCGAGCCACCTGATGTGAAATAAAATGAACAGTAACCTTCTAACCTTCCCTTCATGCCCAACAGTTTGTAGAAATAATTTCAAGTGCAATTCTGACCGAAAATGCTTAGCACGCAGAATCACATTTAAAAGGGTGCGACCCATGGCCTCCATAACGCAAAATTGCACAGATTCTATTGAAATATATACTTTTCTATAACCATAAAATGTTTATTTGTATTTTCAACCGTTATATAAAATAAAAGTGAGCCGGGATAGCGCAGTCGGTATAGCGACTGGCTACTGGCTGGGCCACCGAGGGGAAGGAGGTTGAGTCCCGGTGGGGTCAAGAATTTTCAATTCTTCATGTCGTCCAGACCGGCTCTGTGGACCACCCAACCTCCTATCTAATGGGGGGAAAAGCCTCGGGGTAAAATGGCCGGGAAATGAAGCTGACCACTCACCTCCAACTAATGCCGAGGTCAAGAAAATGTGGATCTATGCATCCACTCCCCCCATACGCCTTCATGTTGTAGTGCTTAATTAGTTGAACATAGACACAACTTTACCTTTACGTTTTACTATAAAATAAAAACCAACAAAATTGTTATAACCGAACTTTGTTGTTACCAATAGGGGCCTCCACATTTTGATGTCCCTGGGGTCTCTACAACTTTAAATCCGGCCCTCGGACTTTGTGTCGTATTCACTTCTCGTTTAGGTCCTTTTGGCAATGACAACCTCATTTGTATAGCGCTGATCTTGTTCAGAAGGTCGCAAATTTATCTCTGGATGAATGTCAATTTTATTATTGTTAAAGGCCAAGGCCAGTTATGACGGGATTTGTTTAGATATAATCTCGGTATTGAGGGTCTCTACCCAACTTCTTGCAATATAACGTAGGTAGTATATAGTGGACACGTGGAATAATTGATTATAAATTTATTATTCATATTCTATTACGTGTTACTTGCAAGAGGTGCCTAATGAAAGCATTGCAGAGAGACGGTATCTGCCTCTTCAGTGCGTTATGACCATATCTCCGGAATTTCGAAATTACTGACCAGTGATCGATGAAAACTGTTTTGGAATTTACAGTCAATTTTATTAAGTACGATTTCGGTGAGCCTCTGTCCAATATAATCCTTACTTTAAATATATATCAAATAAAATTCTACATATATCCTCAGGCTCGGTCCATATCATAACTATGGCTACAGAATTTTCCATTCAGGTGGGTACAAATCCTGTTTCGTATTCGGGAGCTTCTGGGCTGAAATATGAGCCTGGAGACGGGTCGTCCTCTCGTATTTCTGGATTCCCTCAGTCCATCCAAGCAAATGCAGTGATAGTACCTGAAATTGTTCAATGAATCCTCTCTTTCGTATCCCTTTCAATTTACTGTTCACTCATCCTCCCTTTCCACGTCGCATAACCTGAATTGCTGAAGGCGATGATATATAAACCGTAAATAAAGAAGTTAATAAATACATATGTGAATCGACGTTCTCTATAAGAAACGAATAAACAAACTCCGTGGCTTTTAGTCCGCAAGCGAACTATAGAGATAGCCTCTTCTCGGCGAAGTTAGTGCCAAATTTGGCGGATAGAGGGTCTCGCCTGGTCAGCGCAACGAATACCCACGGCCGTTAATTAACGCCCGGAACCGAACCCGGACCTNTAAGCAACGAATAAACAAACTCCGTGGCTTTTAGTCCGCAAGCGAACTGTAAAGAGACCGCCCCTTGTCGTCGGAGTTAGTGACAAATTTAGCGGATAGAGGGTGTCGCCTGGTCAGCGCAACGAATACCCACGGCCGTTAATTTCGATTTTCTAGACCGGAGCCGCTATTTCCTTAAAACAGCTCCTCAATTATCCCCACGAGGCTGAGTGGACCCCGTTCCAGACCCCCTACTTCTCAGAAAATCTAGTAACGCCGGGAACCGAACCCACCTCTGGATCTGTAGGCAGGAAATCTGACCACTAGACCACATAGGCAGACGATGTATATAAAACATACAACAAACACACACACACACACATAAAAAACATTTGAAAATATATATTCTCCAGAGTTGAGCAGGTTAAGTTTATCTTCCCTTCGTTGTTTATATGAAGTCATATCGGTAGAACGTACTGACGTAATCATTTTCACAGTCCAAAAATCAAGCATACAAAAGAACGTATTCCCTTGAGAATCTCCCTTATTTATAGCGTCCTCTCCTTCCATACCCATGCTTAAAAAATGTTCATAAACCCAATTAATTTTTTTTACACAGTACTTCATAGAGGAGTTACTTTCTAAAAGCAAATTAAGACAAACAGGGATATAACACCGTGTAAAAGTAAGGGTAAAGTTGTTCCTGTGCTCAACGAATTAAGCACTACGCCATGAAGGCGTATGGGGGAGTGCATCTATAGATCCACATTTTCTTGAACTCGGCAGTAGCTGGAAGTGAGTGGTCAGCTTCAGGACCCTGCCACTTTACCCCCGGGGAAAGAGCCCCCGGTACCCATTGGATAGTTGATTGGGTGGTCTGTTAAAAGTCAACCGATGTTCCGGAGGAAATTATCGCTTCTATCTTCAGGGTCGAACAATAAGCCGAGCAAGAAACCAACGTGAAAGCAGATGGTAAGCATAGCGCTGAAGATGGAGGCGATATGCTCTTCCGAAACGCTGCTTGACTTTCAACGACCTACAGTGTTGTAACTCAGAAGATAGAACTCTTCCTAGCCACAGCTGAGAGAGCCTCAGTTCCTAAGATAGAACTCTTCCTAGCCACAGCTGAGAGAGCTTCAGTTCCTAAGATAGAATTCTTCCTAGCCACAGCTGAGAGAGCCTCAGTTCCTAAGATAGAACTC